TTTTGTTTCTGTGGGATTTCCATTTTAAAAGTTGTGAATAATCCCTTCTTTGCATATTAAGTTCTGTTTTAGGGTTCTCTTACAAAAGACCCAACTCATCTTGTCTTCCAGATTTGGTAACTTTGCCACAGTGGTTTACTGGCATGAATGGCTAAATGAGTCACAATGCTGGCATGTCAATCATGAGAAGCAAAGAAATCCCTATAAGGGATTGCTAAATGCTTTAGCTTTATAAGGAGGGGAAATACCATGTATGTACTGTTGAGTCTTGATTGGCCAACAGCTCAGAGAGAAAATTGCTGTTGGGTTCTTGATCTTTATGAGCCCCATGGACTCTCTGGATAGGCCTAGACAGCAAATGGTGGTGTTCTAGAAGATCTCAGATGGATTAGGGATGTGTTTGAAGTGCCATTCAAAAGACTGCTAAGTGGAAAGTTTGTTTGTCTGCAGGTGCCCCAGACTTGCAACATATGGTGAGTTTCAAATTATCAATCCGTGTTTTAGTCAGGCAGGTTGTACAAATAAAGCCACTATACAAGGAAAGCTATGGAAACCCACCTTTAAATAAGTAGGATAGATCATGAGCTGTTAAGAGTCAGCAGCCGGAATCTTAGAGATTTCCACCTGCAGATATAGTGCCATGTTTTACAGTGCCCTGTTCCACGAGTTTGCAAAATGAACATTATCTCGGGTTGGTTATGACAATGCACTTGTGCAGTGGCTAAACTTTGAGGGTGCTTTGGTGTAAATTTCTAATTTTTGCAATCAGCGAGGCAGACAACATTTATACTGCTGAGAACCATAGTTCAGCTGCTTGAGCATGAATATGGCAGTCTCCCTTGTGTTCAAGATACCAGCTTAGTCCATCAGCCAGGTTGCATTATTTATAATGTACCAATATGCTGTAAGTGAACAACAAATGTAGCTTTTGATAGTTCCCATGTCAGCAAAAACAAATGGGTTCTTTATAAGGATTAGAGCTGAGTGGTGCCCTTATTTTATAGCCCTTCTTTATAAATATAAAAGGTTTTTCACTGCTGAATTATTTTTTTTTTTAACAAGCAGGGAGTTTCAAGCTACTTATGTGCAAAATAAGCAAACAAAAATAATAAAGTAGCCCCCCAAACAAGTATTTATTCCTCCTTGTGTATGTAATTATAATTATATAGCATTTTATATATCATCTAGTTTACATCATGATCAAAATTTAAACTTGGCTTTTCCTGAAGCATTTGATATACCTAAGGAGAAGTATGGCACTCCTTGAAGTTCTGTAACATGAGTAATCTAACTCAGAGGTAGAATAGAATAGAATAGAATAGAATAGAATAGAATAGAATAGAATAGAATAGAATAGAATAGAGTTGGAAGGGAGGTCTTCTAATCCAGCCCCCTGCTCAAGCAGGAGAACCTATACCATCTCAGACAAGTGATTGTCTAGTCTCTTCTTAAAAATTTCCAGTGATGGAGTGCCCACGATTTCTGGGGGCAAGGTATTCCACTGGTTAATTGTCCTCACTGTCAGGAAGTTTCTCCTTAATTCCAGGTTTCTTCTCTCTTTGATCAGTTTCCAACCATTGTTTCTTGTCCTGTCCTCTGATGCTTTGGTGAATAACATGACCCCCTCTTCTTTGTGGCAGCCCCTCAAATACTGGAATACTGCTATCGTATCTCCCCTATTTCTTCTTTTCTTTGGACTAGCCAAATCCAGGTCCTGCAGCTTTTCTTTGTATGTTTTAATCTCCAGGCCTGTGATCATCTTAGTTGCTCTTCTCTGAATGTTTTCCAAACTCTCAACATCTTTTTTGTGATATAGTGACCAAAATTGGCTGCAGTATTTCACGTGTGGTCTTACTAGGGTTTTATAAAGCAGTAGTATTACCTCGTGTGATCTTGATTCTATGCCTCTGTTTATACAACCCAGGATTGTATTAGTTTTTTTGGCTGCTGCTGCATACTGCTGGCTCATGGTTAAGTGATCGTCCACTAGGACTCCAAGGTCCCTCTCACAGTTACTGTTTTTAAACCTGGTCTTGCCCAATCTGTACTTGTACCTTTGATATTTCCTGCCTAAATGTAAAACTTTGCTTTTCTCCAGATTGAAACTCCTCTGTCCTTGTTCTTTTGGACCTCTGTCCTTGTTCTTTTGGACCTCTCAGCGGCTTTTGATACTGTAGACCACGGTATCATGCTGCGGCGTCTCGGTGGGTTAGGAGTGGGAGGCACCGTTATGCGGTGGTTCTCCTCCTTCCTCACCGACCGTACGCAGTCTGTATTGGCAGGGGGACAGAGGTCGACTCCTAGGCCCCTAGCTTGTGGGGTGCCTCA